TTCCCCTCTAATGTCTGGGCACTGGAACCAAGGAATGTCCCCCTGATCTGTACTTGACCTCAGTTGCAGTATCTGATCTAGAAAATGCCAGATGACTACCCTCTCTCATGTCCTTCCTTTACTTCGCTGCAGAAACTGGCTTAAAACAGTACATGTTACCAATGCTTCTTTTCATATTACCATTCACCTGACTTCTTATCATTTCTTCCACTTTACCCTGCTCAGCAGATTTGCCTTTCTTTTTTAAACAAGCATACAGAAATGTGTATATTCATAGCACTTAATATCTATAAAATGAAATATGTATATGAAAATACAACTGATTAGCAATTACACATAAGGGTCAACAAAAGTGATCCAAATAGTTACATAATTACCCATTTGAAGGTGCCATTGGCCTTCAAAAGTTAAACACTTCATTGTACTGTGTACAAGGTGCTCATTTATCCTTCCAGTATTTAGCTTTTCAAAGGGTGTGGAAAATCCATTTATTGCATTTGGGGGGTTTGTTCCATTTCCTCCTTACTCATGTCAACTCAGTTTGTTAGTAAATTGAGCCAGGACTTGGATCCCGCCTCCCTTTTTTAATGATTGGGAAGGGAAACCCAAAATCAATATTTATTTATTTAAAACTTTTTTAGACCGTTCCTTACCGTAGTCTTGAGATGGTTTAGCAATAGGACAAAATAGAATAAAACACAACAAATAGAATTTTCTCATAATCATTTTAAATATTTTATTAGTAATTTTGCATGAGCATGTATAATAACAAGTCCACCTAGTTGCTATTTAGCTTCACAGATGCCTAGTCTCTTCCTTCTCAGTTGTATCCGCTCTACATCTACTTCATTCAGTCCAGCATAGCCATAATTCCTATTTGTCAAAGAACATGTCAGTTTCATCCTCCAGTTGGCCATTTCCCAGGCAAAATGTGGGTGCGAGGAGGAATTCACAGTGAAAAAAATCTCCAGCAGGGCCATAGCTATCTTTTCAGCCATTGCCATATGTGTAGCAATGGAGAAACTGGATAAGTCAGACACATGAGCCATGTCTTCGGCTTTTCTGTAGAAGACATTACCCCTTTGTTATCAGTTCCAAGGCGGATGCCCTCTTTAGTGTAGTGAATCAAAATAATATTTTTGCTGAGGATGCAACACGCTTCTGTAGGTATGTCAGCTCATTGGTCCCTAGTAGGTAGGAGTTCATGGAGATTATAAATAAGAAAAAGTACTTGCTTGCAAGTGTTCTTCAAATGTAGTCACACAATCTGTCTTTCCTTTCCATATGAGTCCTATAACATCTAAATGTGGTGATAAGAAGGGATTACTCACAAGGCACTTGCAGGACATCTCATTTTAGAGAGCAAGGAACTGAGTGCCAGTTTTCCTTGACTAAAATTTGAAAATATTCAAAATCTAACTCTCTATAGACACGGACCCTTTTTGTAGGACCTCACAGATGACCATTTGACAAATTTAAGTTGTAGCTGTGCAGGGATTTTTTCCTTATGTGAGCTGTTCTGGTTACAATTTTAATGTGAAAATGGCATACTGAAAATAAAATAAGACATTTCAAACCCTGTGCTTTTGCTGATTAAAAAAAGATGTTTAATTACAAGATGCAGAAACCCTTGGTATGGGGTAACCCTTCCCCATCTCTAATTAGTTTTACTTCTTGTACACTGGTTGTATCCTAGAGCAAGTTACACTGACAGCTGAGTAACTGCATTGCCACATCAGCCATTCATGATTTTGGGACTGGCATGGCTTCCAGCTGGCAGACCTATTTCTGCTTCAGGAATGATAGGCAAAGTATTACAACGATGGCAGCTGTACTAAACATTGCCAGTCTCGCTGCAGTTTTGCATGGTGATCTAGTTTTCTAACTATTTCTAAGTTACAGACTGCAGGAAAAAGTTTAGATTGCTATGTAATATTGGAGTGAGAATGTGGTCAAGGAACCCTTAAACTGTATGGTACTTTTTATATTCGTTATTTGTTGGAGTTATAGACAGGTGCACCAGTGAACAATGCAATACTATACATGCCTTTGCAGAAGTATGCCCCATTGAGTTCAGTAGAACTTACTCTTAGATAAATGAGAATAGGATTGCAACCCAAATGGCCTATGCTTATGAAACCAGCTGTGTTTATACTGTATTAACACAAACTTGCTTGATAAACTCCATGTCTTTGCGAATGGTACAAATATTCTGGTACTTAATTATTTGGTTCCATGTAACAGGAAGACACCAAAGGCAATAGTCCCCATTGTTCTTGTTGTTATGGCTCTTGCCACCCTTTCAAAAGTGTAAGTTGTGGCAGAGGGCACTCAGTGGTTTGTCATTATGTGCAAACCTGGCATTACTGGATGATTAACAAGCCCACCCACAAGCTTAAAACAAACCATGGAGGCTGGGTGGCTTGTTTATTAAATTTGCATATAACAAGTACCATGGTGGGATGCGTCCCGTGACTAGAATTCAACAATTGAAGGATATAACTTGTTCAAAAAGAACAGAAGGGAGACAAGAGTCACATTACATGTTAGAGATACATATCTGTGCACAGAAATATAGGAGGAGGATCTTAGTAGCTCCATTGAGAGCATCTGGATTAATATAAATGGAGCAAGGATTAACAGGAACACAGTGGTTGGACTCTATTACCCACAACCTAGTCAAGGCAGCGTTTCAAGGAGGCGTTATGTCATTGTTATGGGGGACTTCAATTTCCCTGATATCTTTTGGGAGACACTTTCTGCCAAACCTAGCTTCTTCAAAATAGTCTTAACATGTGTTGCTGATAACTTCCTCCAGTGTAAAGTGGAGGAAGGTACAAGAGGAATGGCAATCCTTGACTTGATTCTAGCCAACAGGGAAGACCTAGTAGATGAAGTGGCAGTTAAGGGAACTCTGGGGGAAAGTGATCGTGTCATACTTGAATTCTTGATTCTAAAGGAAACAAAAGCCATATGTTTCCTGGATGTTAGGAAAGCCCATTTTAATAAACTCAGAATGATAAAGTCCCATGGCAAGTGCCTCTAATGAGAAAGGAGCCCAAGATGGATGGGAATTTAAAAAAAAAAATTTTTATGGAAATTCTAATTCTAACCCTAATTTCTACTGAACCATCATCAGTCCCAACACCAGCCAGTGGTTCTGTCTATTCAATCTCCAGCACTCATTTGGATGCCATCTGTGTCTTGGCAGCCTGCACTGCCACAATGACCTTATGTTCATCCAGCTGTTCCTCCTTATCTGATCCAGCTGACTAAGTCCCTGAGTCTGATTCGCTGTTGATTTACAATGACCCAGGCTTGATTTCATCAGAAGTTACCATTTCAGTGCAGGGTTCAAGATCCCTCTTTGAAGACCTGGAAATTTTCTCTAAACAGGTCTTCCACATGGGGATGTCTCTTGGACTGCAAACACAACAGGTGACTGAACTTCCAGTGGATCTGGGCTGTGATGTCATCTGGATGGAGGACTCTGTGCCAGTGGCTATTCTATTCCTACCTACTCTCCAAGCCTTGAGGGAGTCCTGGAAATCCCTGGCACATCCACATCCCATCATTTGGAAATCCTGTATTGGGTTTAGGAGGGGAATATCCCATTTCTGCTGCACCACCCACACCCAGACTTGGTTATCGTGGATTTGGTGCAGGGATGGTTGCAACAAGAAAGCACCACATCAGCAGACTGCTGCCTAGATATGATGGCAAGGAGGATGAATGTGGCAATAGGACTGGCTTAGCGTATCTCAAACTATGACGTGACCATGGGGAGATACCAGGTCTGTCTTAGGGAGAAAATGGGTGCCCTAACTGAGTTTCTCCCAAAACAACCTCAAGCTCTCACTAGGGTATTCCAAACAGAGGGACTTTGATTGTCCAGGCAACAGACCAACACCACTTGTTGACTGTGACTCCAAGCCCCTGTTCAGCTTGGTGCTGATTCCAGAGACATTCCTGGCACTGAGTGGCAGGCCTGTTACAGGATGTATGGTCCCACATTGAAGACATGTCCTTTGATGGGGAAGGGCTTTTCAGTGTGAGGAATGATGAGAAACTTGCTGCCATCTAGAAAGCATGGGTGATGGCTAGAAGAAAGAACTTCACAACCTCACAACTGCCCAGAGCTTGTAAGTGGCCATGGGGTTCTATGGATGCCTACCAACCACAGAGCCAATACCATCAGCCAACAACAGCATCAGTTTGTCCATCAACGATACAAGATGCCGCTCCTTGGTTCCAACGGTCCACCAAAAAACAGTGAAAAATGCCATGTGGACTTATAATGTGGGCCAGTCCACCTCCTTCTGCACAAATTTGCTTTGAAGGCCACCTTAAAAACTATCTTCCCAAATGGGAAGCCAACACACTATGCAAGACCTTCTGCTCTTAAGCTGGAGTAGGCAATATTCCTGAAGATATTGGGTCCGTTTGTCACAAAACATAGCATTCTCAGCTAGAAAGTGCAGATTCAAAGTGTGAACTTGATGGAGAAGGGAGGGGTTGGTTCTTTTGGATGTAAATGTCTAGAATTTTATATTGAGTTGAAAGTTCTTAGTCCCTTTCTCTATCCCACTTACCTGAGGCTCTTGGTACATTGGAAAGGGGAGATCTGTATCCCACCCCCTCCTTGTGAGCACTTCCTTTTGACAGCTGTCAAAAGAAAGGGTTTGTTTTATTTAATCTATCAAATCTGAACCTTTTTTTTCTTGGAACGGGGGGCATACAGCTTTTAAAACTGCTGATTACTCACAATGAGTTGTCATGTCATGCAAAAATCAGTCAATGATATGTACAGGTCAAATTATTTCACTGTTTTACAAAAAAATAAGTGACTGAAATTGTTACCTTACTTTTAATGATGAACTGATACTAAAAAGCTGTTTCCCATAATACACTTTATGACTACCATATTCAGTTATGCACTGCATAATCTCCCCTAAGATAGGACCCATATTAACCATCCCACTTTGCTTTTGATGTTCTAGGAGACAAAGATGGCAGCAAAGTGACCACAGTGGTAGCAACTCCTGGACAAGGTCCAGACAGGCCTCAAGAAGTTAGTTATACAGATACTAAAGTGATTGGAAATGGATCTTTTGGTGTTGTATATCAAGCCAAACTATGTGATTCAGGAGAGCTGGTTGCCATCAAGAAGGTTCTACAAGACAAGCGGTTTAAGGTGAGACAAACAAGTACATTCTTGATATTTTGACTTCTCCAATGTCATTACTGGTTGGATGATTTTTTTTCTCTAAAAAGTATGTTGTATCCACTGATATTCAAGTGTACAATTGCAGTTTTGTGTAAAATGGATAGGAAGAAAGTACTTCAGTGGTTTCTAATTTTATAGTAGCAGCTTAATAAATCATCAAAACATTTTGATTTAAAGCTAAATAGAGCTGTTTTAGAATACAGGAGGGTTTTGTAGAGGGTTGGTTTCTTTCTTTCTTTCTTAGCTTAGAATTTCATATGCTACTTTATTAAATTTTGTTTCTTTTTTAGGAAAATTAATGTTCTGCTCATGCTTTGTACAAAGCTGTATTAGGATGGCCATTAGAAGTCAATCGCACTCCCTGAACAATACCATTGTATTTTAATTCTAAACACATATTTTTCATGGTACATCTGCAAAGATCGTATATAGGACCATTTAGATTTAGGCTATGTGCTCAGAAGTGACACTTTCCCAGAAGTGAACACTGGCAGCTCTATATGGTAAGCTGGTTGGTAGGTGGAGTCCAGTACCCTAAATAGATTGCCCTGTGAGTAAGTATCATTGTATTGGACTTTCTTCTGAATATGTATTCAGTGGATTTTACTGTTAACCCAACAGCTAAGCTTCAGTAGTCAAATTAGATGCAGATCCTTGAGCTGACCCAAAGAACTGTTTGCTATTGGTGATGTAGAACCCTCCAAATGTACTGGCATCAAATATAACATTTGTCCCAACCTGAGTCTTTTATAGTATTGGGGATATTTTGAGGTGTTTTGTCCCTTTAAACACCCACCCTGTAAAACGTAAGGGTTCAGAAAAAGTAAAGGCAGAGTTTCAGAAACTTAAATAACTTTAGTAAGCTGTCTTCATGTAGCTGTTCTGGATACTACAATGCCTTATTTTTTTTTTTAATAAAAAGGATTCCCAATATTATCTGAGATTTGAATTGAACTGATGCATGTGTTCCATAGTAGTGGATTTGTAAGTAGACTCAAAACTCCATATAAATTAAAAAGTATTTTAAAAATACATTTATTACTAGCATTAGGAAACTATAAAACAGAAGAGAATATGTTAGTAAGATACATAATAGATTGAACATTGACTTCACCAAGATAGGATTGCAAGATAGGAAAGAAAATATATGCTTGTTTCTTAGCTTCAAATTATTGTTCCATTAGTTATTATAAGTTCTGTTGTAGAATTTTGAAAGGTAATTGGAACATGCAGAATCTTAACATAAAAGGAATATTTCTGAACTTGGCAAGAAGTATAAAAACTGAAAAATATAGTAAACATTTTGGTATGCCATGACTCAAGGTAAATAAGTTGACAGACTCCCAAAATATTTCCATGGTTCCTGAAGCCCTTTGTTCTCAAGTCATTGCAAGTCATTCCAAACATTGTGAGGAAAATATTAACAGGGTCTCTGATAACCATGTGTTAGGGTTAGGATTAGGGTAGACTGAATTACAGTAGCACAGGATATCAGGAACCATGGATGAAATCCAAATAGTTATTTTTGATTCTAGAAAATTAGACCATGTGTACTTTGCTTATGGTGCTTAGAGGTTGAACCTTCATGTTCATTTATTCTGCGCTAAGCTCTCTGGAACACAGAACACAGGAAGCTGCTGAATACTGAGTCAGACCACCTGGCCATCTAGCCCACTATCGTGCACCAGTATTGCCTGGTTTCAGTCAGCCTGGTTTCTGGAAATACAAAGCATGTCCTTTACAACTGATCTATGGTCCCTACTGATAGAGGATTTCCTTGATATGTGACATCAGTTCCCTCCTGCTTCCTCTGTGGATACAAACATAGAAAGTTGGATATTATTGCCTGCAAAGTGTGTTCATTGGTTTTAAGATTGCCAACAGTTATCAGACGCTGCCAACTTTTCCCTTGTGCAGTGAATGTCAGCTGATAGCCAGGAGAAGAAACCAAGCCAGATTGAAAGCTGAAGTGATGAAGCAGAGCAGATTACAAAATAATACACTTCATTTTGCAAGGTTCTGTATCACTAGAACAGTTTCCTTGGCTGTCACATCATTCCTAATACAATTAGGGATTGTACGTTAAACTCCAGTAGTAGCTTTCTTCAAAAGAGAGACCAGCTACGTACAAACGGATAATCTCACTCATCCTCATTCAAGGACTGGTCAGGCAAAAATTTTAGTCATTCACAGAACTATCTCAGTGATAGTGATATTCAGCAACAGACTATCATATTTCAGAGAATAATGGCACCACCTCACCATAGACCAGCCTTTGCCACTACAGACTTTGCCACTATGACATGAAGGTGAGTACGGTGGATCTGGTGTATTCCTCTGTCACAGGTGTCTCCAACCTTTTTAGGCATTTTGACCAATTTAAATTTTCAAAAATTGCTGTTGGCACCACCTCAAAATGGTGGTCATGTAGTGTATGACCAATTATAAAATGTAACAACCACGCTAGAACATGTTGTTTTGAAAGCAGAGAAACAGATACTGGTTTTGGAGATCAGCTGCTTTAGCACTGGTAATAGCCTTGTGTATTTCCAGTTGTGATTTATATTCTTGGAAAGCACAACTACTTGATAAAGGCTGTAACCTGAATAGGGACCATAAGAAATGAATGGTCCCCAAGGCCTTAGGAATTTACTAGCATTTCAACATCTGGAAGTGTCAAGATATGAAAACATGTATTTTTTCTAGTGAGTTTCAGCATTTTTACAGCAGCTTTTCCCAATGTGGTTCTGTCTCCATGTTTTGGACTGCAACAGGTATCCATGCTGACTGTGGCTGATGAGAGTTATAGTTCAAAAATCTGGGGCATTTTTTGGTTCCAGAGAAGCCTGAACAGAACTCCACTTGCGCTATGTAGCTTTCCATCTTCCTCCTCTCACTGCAGCCGCTTGCACCTTCCAAAAGTTGTAGAGGGTAGAAGGACTTCCTAGAATGGTATACAGCAAGCTGCAACAGGTGGTAGGGGGGAAATACTGAACATGTGCAAGAGACCTCCTGGGTCCATGCTGCAGCAGAATTCTCCTAGTTTGAAATAGGCAGTATGGCAGCTGTGGGCACCAGTCCTCCCTCAGACCCAATACTTTATACCCACTGTGGTGCCTTACCCGTTTCACTTGTTTAGTTTTTAAAAACAAAGTTCTTTATGAACAACTGAGAATGCTTCAAAACAGATTGAGAGTCTCTTGTTTTCTTTGCAATGCCTCTGGGTGATGTGGGGCACCAAGATGCTCTTAAGAAAATTAATTAATTTCTATACCACCTATTAGTCAAAATGACTCCCTGCAATATTTGCATAATCAAAATACACAGAGGGGAAAACCTCCCTCAGTGGTTTCATGTAGATGTTGAATAGCACTGGGGATAAAATAGAGCCCTGCAATACCCCCATGATGTAACTGCCTTAGCGCAGAGCAGTAATCTCCCAGCACCTTCTTGAATAGGTCGGTCAAATAGGAGTGGAACCATTGTGAAGCAGTGTCTCCAACTCCCAACCCAGCCAGCCTATCCAGAAGGATACCACAGTCGATGGTATTGAAAGCTGCTGAGAGGTCTAGAACCAACAGGGATGCACATCCCTGTCTTTCTCCCAGCAAAGGTCGTCACACAGGCAGTCTCCATTCTTAAACCAGGTCTGAATTCTGATTGAAATTGATCAATATGATTAGTTTCATCCAAGAGAGCCTGGAGCTGTTCAGCCACCACCTGCTTAGACACCTTGCCCAAGAGAGGAATATTGGCCACTGGCCAATAGTTGTTAACATCTCTGGTCCAGATTAGATTTTTTCAGGAGTAGTTTGGTTACAGCTTCTTTTAAAGAGGCTAGACCAGTCCTTGTTTCACAGAGGTGTTTATGGCCTCCTGGACCCAGGTGTGCATCCCTTTCTTACTGCAAATGATAAGCCATGATGGGCAAGTGTCAGACATACAGGTGATAGGCTAAACCTGGCCAAGTAACTTCTCCACATCCTAAGACCTCTATAACTGAAACTCTTCAATAAAGTTGGATACCTTTGGATATTTCTATCAATGGAACTGTATTAAAAGTGAAGTCTAATTCATGCTGATTTGGAGTGACTTCGAAGTGCTGTGAAGATTCATCTCAGTGGGCGACTGAGGGATTGACAATTTCCTTCTCTGACCCAGTTTGGAAAAAAGTAGCAAACTACTTGGAAAAGCTCTGCTGGATGACACTGAGAGGATGCATTGCTTGGGGAAAGGAATAGCCTCTTTGCTACTCTCATCGCTATGGAATAGGCTTGATAATGAACTCTTAAGCTATGTCCAGTTGGACTGAGCTGAGTTTTCTTCTACCTGTGCTCTAGCTGTCTCCCCTCCTGCTTCATAGCCTTTGGTGTACATCAAAGAGCTGGTTGGGCTTTGCACAGGGGAAGGGGGCACTTGGGTAGGATCATGTCAGCAATCATCCCCACATTCCAGAGAGCAACTTGTGTTTCAACAGGAGCATCAGCCATATCAGACAGAAATTCCCTCAGAGCTGTCTGGAAACCATCAGGATCCATTAGTCTGCAGGGGTGCACTATTTTAATAGGTCACCTACACTTGCAGAGTGGAAAAAGGGCCGAAAGCCTATACTCCAGTAGGTAGTGATCTGACCATGACAAGAAGATTGAGATTAATCCCCCCTCCCTTTCCAGATCACTATCTTTCTGTCCAGTCTAAAACAAAAACAAAAAACCAGGTCTAGGGTATGCATGTTGGTGTAGTCTTGTTGAGCAAACTTGAGAGAATGAAAGATAAAACTTTTCACGGGGGTGTTTATTCTAGACATAGGTAAACTGTTCTACATGGAGTTGCACTATCTTGGAAGGCTCCAGTATGCATTTTGAGATGGAGTACATCTTTCTGGATAGAAGACAGCAGTGTGCAAGAGTGGTTTTTATCAGCATCAGTGATTTGGTCGTTGCAGTCTTCCTTGGTTCAGATACTTATTTAATCTAAAACTTGATTGCCAGATTTTTGACTGGAGCCTGAACATTGGATTAGCTGACTCTAATTTCATACCAACTTAATTATTAATTCTTTCCAGGCTTGTGTCAAAGTTCTGGTGGTCAGTTCTAAATCTCATCCTAAGATCTTTTTGAAAAAACTATATTATGAAGCTGGCTTTCCCTTAAAATCATCTTTGGAAGCTTTTATCTGTGTCCAATTGCTATTAGAGATATGTTAGGTGGGCACCAGAGATATCATAATATATTGGTACCAGAGACACATAATACCGGTACAGAAATTATGAAATGTATTCCTAGGACATTTCAGGTCCTCTCTCTTCCGGTGTATTGTTGCCGTTGTTACATGGTGCCAAATTGTCTGTAGCTTACGATGATCCTGTGAATGAATGCCCTCCAAAATGTCTTGTCCTTGACAGTCTGCTCAGGTTTTGTAAACTAAAGGCTATGGTTTCCTTTATGGAATTGATCGATCTCATACCTGGTTCTCCTTGTCTTATTCCTTCAACTTTCCCTAGCATTATTGTCTTCCTAATGAGTTTCACCTTCTCATGATGTGTGCAAAGTATAACAGGCTTGGTTTAATAATTTTTGCTTCAAGGAGATGTTCTGGCTTGATTTGATCTAGGACCTATTTGTTCATCTTTGTTTCTTTTTGGCTGATTGCATAAAAGTTTTCAATTTCTTCTTCAGCATCTGTTGTTGGAGCATAGGTTGGAATGATGGTTGTGTAGATAGCTTTTCTAAGAATTCTGATATAATTTGGTTGGACTTTGCATTATAGTCCGTTAGTGCCTGTGCCAAATCTTTAGTGCCTGTGCCAAATCTTGTCTCAGTCTTAGCCATTCCATTTCTTCCAAATTTGCCATTTTCAGAATAAAGACATTCTTCCCCATTAAAGTCATTACTTGCCTGCAGTGTATACTCAGTTTCATGCTGAAGCAAAAATGCTATGAGTATATCACTGTTTTCAGGGGGATTTTGTGTTGTGGAGGCAATCTAGCAGCTCTTGTGTGCAGTTTCTGTTCCCTTAGTCCAGAATGTAATATCAGACCACACACTTCTACACAAATTAGGATTTTAATTTGGAAGGATGTGACAGTAGAACCTTGCACGCCTGCAGTATGCAGAAATACAGCTATTTTTGGCCTTGAGGAGATGCCATTGGCAATTCTGAGGAAGGATTTGTGAGGGAGAATGGAAGATATTAGAAAGAAGGGGGACTTGCAGGACTGTAGGGATCGTGAGAAAAAAATGGCAAGAGAAGATAGCTAGGTAGTCAAATGTAATGAACACAACCTTTGTTCAGTAATGTTGCAGACAGAGAAAAGACAGGCTGAAGCTTAGAGCAGCATTCCAGCATACAGCAGCGTTCCAGCATAGGACTGCAAATTCCCTTATATGTTTGCTCTGTTTAAAAAGACAATTATAAAGTTCATTTTTGTTCTTAATTCCTTTCTTCTGTCTTTCCCTCTTTAAATTCTTGTTACTAACTATTTTGATTCTCATTAGCAATTTTATTCAATTTTCAACAGTTCAAATAGGAATCTGTATACAGCAACTCCTATCTATAATGGTTTAGGTAATGGGTGGGCAATCAGGGTGGATTTGATTTAAATCACAGTTTAAATCACAAGTCAGTAAGACTAGATTTAAATCATGGTTTTCTACATAATTTGCAGGCATGCATACCTTACCTATAGGTAGAGGAACTTCATTAAAATATTCCCAGATTGGGTCTCTTTTACAGCCTGCTTCCATTATAGGTTTTCTTCTCCAGGTAAAGAATAATATGATAAGGGTTAAGGGGTTGATTCTGTGTGCATTGATTTGCAAAGGAATAATGGAATTAAGGTCTTTTTCTCAACTCTGTATGTTTATTTCATAACATTTTTGCTGTGATGAAGAGGCATGGTATCTCTGCTGTCACAGATTCACAGTTTTGAGAATTGTAAACCCAAGTGATAATACCTTCCAGACAGAAAAATTAAGTGAATTCATTTACCAGAAAACTTAAACATTGCATGAATATACAGCCTCATGCTACATCATTAAAAATGAATCTTTATTTCAAGATGAATAACAATTGGACTATAATATATCTTTTTATAACATTATTTTTATTCATCCTGTGGGCAACTCATGACCCTCCAAATTTCTTGACTTATAACTCCCTAGTCCTATCAAGCAATAGCCAGTGGGGAAGGATGATTGGAGTTGTAGGCCAAAACATCTGGTGGGCCACAAGTTGCCTACCACTGATTTAGATGAAATGAGTAACTTTTCCAGAGTCTTGGTTTGCAAGCACTACTAAGATCACTGGGGCTTAGTACTTGTACAAACAAACTGCCTCGTTTTTTTTCAAGTAACCCATTTACTCAAACTCAAAAAAGTCCTTAATTTGACCATTTGGTTATCAAGATGTTTGAATGGAACACCAATACAAGGGTTACTGCCACCTATTTTTCTGCAGTGAAGGAGTGACCATTGATAGGTGAAAGCATATTAACCTGTCCTTCAGAAAACACTCCAAGACATATGAATAACTGCACATGTGTATAAAGACTGGGCATAGATTGAACATGTTTTGAATGTTTAATGTGGATAACTGTATACATGTACACAGATGTAATACCTGTGTATTAAATGTCATATGTGAACACCCCTCTTCTTTCAGTTCACTTTGGTGGTCTTATACACCTATTTTATAACTTCTGACCATCTGAACTCTCCAATGTATTGAGTGATGAAATTGACTGTGAACCCCAAACTACTGTGTGCTTATGGCAATGAGGCCTCAGCATAAACAAAAAATGCTTGGGCTTGAGAATCAGAGAACCAGGACAGGGGCTAATATGCTAGCGGGAGACTAGATTTAATGCTTATAGAATGCTACACGAGCAAATTTGTGGGAGGGGACATTTTCAATGTAACAATTATCCTGAGCTAGGGAGAAAGGAATGTAGATAAGATCATGGACCTGATTTAGATATATTTTCTGTGTAGAGAAAGTGAATCCATATGGAATTATTCACACTCAGTAGCTCATTTAAATCAGGTTGTCTCATCTTTGCATGCAGAGGAATGTGGCCTAGGCATGCCAGTACTGCACATGTAGCAAGTGAGGACCCAATTTAAACATGAACATAGGTACTTAGAGTTTCGCAATACACTTTTTGCATGCTAAACATCCTATTTATATTGAACTGATAGAAAGGGATGGGCATACGCATGTAGGAGAGGCAATAGAACTAGAGAGAAAATGGGTGATAGAAACACAACAGAGTAAGCATTTAGTGGAGAAGGAGGGATTTTTCCACATTAATTGAATAGGAATAGATGTGTATTGGGATGTTGTACATGTTGGAATTTATATCATTTATGGTTTCTAGTATATTTTAGTTCTTATAGCAAGCTTTATTGTGCACAATTGTTCAAGAACTACTCAGTGAAAAACAAGTTAAAATTTTTGTTGGTGGTAATTTAAATCATGGTCACTTTAATTTAAATATACCAATTTTCCTAACAGCTAGGGTTATATGATTATATTATATGTAGGTGCCCTCACAAACATATCAACTCTTTGTCCTGATACATACTTTGTTATATATACTAGTTATTTCAGCAAAAGTCAAAGCAAAATGTGTTGTGTAAATGATTTCTATGTTTCTGTACCTCTGAGAAATAAAATATTGTTTTCTTTCAGAATCGAGAGCTTCAAATCATGAGAAAGCTCGATCACTGTAACATTGTCAGATTGCGCTATTTCTTTTACTCCAGTGGAGAGAAGGTAAGGTTGGAAACACATACATGAAACCCTACCTTAAGCATGTTACATTTTTGTTCAAAGAACTGCACAGCCTCCAGTATATTATTGAACCAAGTTAAATGTGATTTTATTGACTTATAAGGCTCTGAACAACTAGAGATAAGATCTTCTGGGGAAGCACCTGCTCCCATATCAGCCTACTCATTTGTTAAGAATTACAGACTGGAGACTCCTGGTTGTTCCATTGTCTGCATATCATTTGCTGGCAACTGAGGAAAGGACCTTTGTGGTTGAGGCCCCTGCCTTTTGAAGTCAGTCTGCAGCACATGACAAAGTGCCAACCTTAAAGATGTTTCAGTCTTTGTGAAAAATGTATTTGTTTAATCAAACTCATACTGGTTCAAGTATCTAGCTTAGTGGGTTTCGTTGTTTGATTATGAATTTTCATTTCTATTTGTCTTTTAACAGATTTTGTACTCTGCCCTTGAAATGAAGGGCAGGTTATAAACATTTTAAATTAAATAAGTAAAATTCTGTGGGTCAATAGGCTAGTCGTGGCTATGTAGTTAAAACAGTAGCAGCAGACAACCCATTGGCAACTGCACGTTTTAACATGTTTTGAGAAAATATCTTTTTCAAGGGAAAGTACAAAATAAAATATGCAAACATTTCACTACTTAATATATTTTAAAGATGGAATTGTAATTGTAATTATAATTGTATGTTTTAAATTATATATAGGATTATACAGCTATTACATTATAGAAGTTGTTATAATTTTTCCTTGGAACTCTTTTATTTAAGGTATGTTAAGTAGTATTTAAATATGAATAATATTATGTTTTCCAGTTTCCCTAGATAGATATTTTCTTGAAAAATGTAGGGAACAATACATTTATGCAGTTGTCTCTTTTTATTAGCTTTGGCTTTTAGAGCTTTTTTTTTTTTTTAAAGAAAACACACTGCTCATTCTCCTCATCATTCTGGTCACCATCTTACATGCCTGGCCACAGGTGAATGAAACAGCAGTGATGAGGATGAAGGCTTAGAGATCATTATAAAAAGAAGAAAACAAGAGTGCATGAAGCAGTAGACTTTGTTGGGTTGGCATCACTGAGGAAGTGGTAACTAATTGGGGAACAGTCAATATACTATTCTTCTCCTATAGAGAGAGATTGCATTAATAATTATGTTTCAGAGGGAAAGGAACCCTGAATCAGAAGAATAAATGGTCAGACAAAAGCTCTTATCAGTCGTATGCTACCTCTTGGTTCCTAGCAGGTATCTGTCAATACCAATCATTTTTGCCAGGTCTTAAAATCAATGGCCCAAAACATCTGTACGACATAATGTGAACTGCACTCCACCACAGAAGACAAAGGCTAAGCTTGTATATGGAATGCATATTGTAGCAGCACACAGTTGCATATTGGTGTGTAAAATATGAAAGCTCATGGCACTCATGGGAACCTCTTTAGATCTGAAGCCTTCTTTATATTCCATTTTGTGATTACTAGAAGTATTTAGTTTCTTCTTTCTAGTTTTCTAATAGCATGCTTCACAATGACTGGATTCACATGACATGGCCATCTACCATGGTCAACTAGTGACAGTGAGTTGTTGTATCATGCAAAGCCAGACCACTGCCCACAGGATAGCTTGCTTTGGAGTAACAAACCACCCTTTCAGTCCATTGGACATATTAGGGACTGTCATGTCATCTAAACCTGGAAAATGGGCCCCATCATGTATCCAGAAAAGTGTCAAATGAAATGGTTGTCAGGAGTAGCAAAACCCTTGTGTTGTGCTTGCCCGGGCTTATGTGGGCTACTGTCAATAGTTTCAGTGGCATTTTGCTGTGTCTGTCAGCGGCCTTCCCTGCTGCACTTGCAACCTTTTCAGCAGTCATTGTTGCTTCCCCACTTTTTTCCCCTGGGGATTGTTCTTCATGATATACAGAGTGACAGACCCTCCAGAGTGTCTAGTTGACACACTGGGGGGTTCATCACTGCTTTGCACCTATTTTTAAATTATTTTTCCACCACAAATATGCATAAATATTTTCATTATTTTCAATGAATATTTTCATTCTTATTATTTTGGTTGGTAGTTTAGAGTGGTGCAAGTGTGCAACTCTTATTACCCAAAATTTGAAGGCTTGCCTGGTCAGTGTCCTGGGACAAATATGGACATTTGAAAAGCAAGGCTTCGCATAACTTAGTTTATCTTCACTTGACAGCTGCGGATGGACCTGTACCTGCAAAAGGGGATGGTGAATAGAATTTTGCATATATCCTGGGTGACAGGGGTGGGGGCAGGTACAGAATCCTGTTTAGCCATGTTAAAGTACCTGTTTTAAAAGACAGATGTCAAAAATAAATACTCCTTTGAATGGGATAATCTTTACATTTCCACCTTCCTTAGCAGCCACAATCCCAAGAAAGGGTAGAGGACACTGACAACATTTAGGTCTACACTTGATCTAAAGCATGGGTCCTCAAACTATGGCCCAGGGGCCGGATCTGGCCCGCCATGGCCATTTATCCGGCCCGCCTCAGAGGTTTTCAGCAGAGGTTTTCAATGTGCCACATGCAATGCACACTGCCTGCCTTGCCCCCCTGTGTGGGGAGGCAGCAGCTTGCTTGTGAGGAGATAGTTTTGGACTTGTTAGGAGGAAACGATCTCCAAGCGAGCAAGCTGCTGCATTGTGTGTCCCTGCCTTGCCTTGCCTTGCCACCCCTCTCCACGTGCACCTGCGTGTGCCATGCCACACCCACACGCCCCATCCCCGCCTCAGCGCCTGCACCGGCCCACGCGCCCTGCTGGCACCACCTTTCCAGCCCGTGCGCCCCACCAGCACCTTTCAACTGGTGAAAAAGTTTGAGGACCCCTGATCTAAAAGATCTCATTGTAAACAAAATGATCTACTAGTTACTTTCTTTCACAAACAAATATCTTTTTATGTTTCTGCTTTCATTTGACAGTTAAAAGGTAAACACATAATAAGGTATTTGAAGCCTGGCTTTTTTAATGTCTCCAGATAGTGCCTGCTTTGACTAGTCAAAGCTTCAAATTTTAAGATGACAGAGTTATTTTAAAAGGTTTTTTAAAAAGCACACTTTTGCAGTACAACACTAATAATATAATTATGTGGCAAACCTGTGATGGCCCCTGCAATGTGCCACCTGGGAACTTTGGTGGGGCTTTCACTGACTGTCACTTCAGCAAACCTAAAGCATGATCTCCAAAAGGGATAAAAGGGGAAGGTGGAAGTTGTGGCAACTGCAGAAAGCTTCATTATAACAGTGAGGAGAGAAGACAACTTCATCCTCCAATTCTCTTGCGATACCAGAGGAAGGACTGAGGGGAAGTGTGGGATGACAAGCCTGGTGAAACCAGTTGTCTGTTGGGTGTACTATGTGTTCTTCCTCAGGCAACTCAGGCTGCATAGCTTTTTTTTGCAGGGTGGATTGTCATATCATTCATTCATTTATTCATTTGTTATTAACAATATTTATACCTGATCATTTACAAGACATCCCAGGATGGCTTGCGACAATAAATAAGTCACAGCAATAAATAAGTACAACAAAATACAACATAACATAACAAGCATAACAGAGCATGACTGAGCATAACAATGTTAAACCCTAGTTAAAATAATTAAATATTAGAATAATGGGCAAATAAAAAGACTTTTGCCTGGTGCCAAGGCAACCTCTCTGGGGAGCGAAATCACAGTCAGGTCACCACCACAAAGAAGAAACCACCATGGTCACATTGCATCATGTGAATGTGACCAGTATCTAATTCACCTTAAGGTTTTATTCACTAGATTTCCCTCTCTTGGTTTCTTCCTGTCAGACAAAGCTTCCCTTACCCTTTAATCTTATATTTGAAGATGGTATGTATCTCTCTCCATGTTAAATTTTTCCATGTTTTAGAAGATTTCACTTAAAATTATTGATGTTGTGTTTTTTAAACTATTTAAAAGGATGTGTGCTTTATCACTTTATTATTATTTATATAATAATACATAGAGTGACTCCTAAACTGAAGTAACAATAACAAATGTAATAAATTGTGTGCATGTGCATGTATTAAGAAAGGTGCTTTTCAGGCAAAAAAATCCATTGTTTCTCAGGGTTGAAATGTAATGGTTCAAAGCGATCATGTTACTTTCTGACCTCATTTGCAATAGAAAAGATGTGTTCAGCATAATGTGCCATTTACAGACACGACTTTCCTATTGTATTTCCTTTTTACGGTACAAACAAATTTTTGTTAAAACGTGCACAGATGTTTTAACATACTGTGATACTTCTTAAAAGTGCCAGGTTTTCTAAATACCATACTAATGGTTTCTTGTGATCATACTTTTTAAATTTCTGTTTCCTTGTGTTTTTCCTTTCCAGAAAGATGAGGTATACCTTAATTTGGTTCTGGACTATGTTCCTGAAACAGTATACAGAGTTGCTAGGCATTATAGTCGAGCCAAACAGACACTCCCCATGATATTTGTGAAGGTAAGTAAATAGAATGAGAAGCTTGAAAGAACATTGGTTATTTTTTCAGATGTACAATGCCTTGCAGAAGTGTTCTCCCCCTCTTGGCTTTTCCACATTTTGTCAAACTACTGCCTGGAATTGAAATGGATGTAACTGTCATTGTCGCCACTTAGCTCTGTGAAGGTACAAAATACTTTATTGTGGCTCAGAACTTAAAAAACACCAATCTGCTACTTGTTGATTGCATATGTATTCAATCCCTGAGTCAATACTTGGTAGTATTACAGCTGCCACTCTTCTTGGATAAGGCTCTGTCCACTTTGGTCATTTGGATCCTGCAATATTTGCCCATTTTTTCTGGCTGCAGCTATATCTGATTAGATGGAGACTGCTGATGAACAGCAACTTTCAAATCTTTTCAAGGATTCTCAATCAGATTACAGTCTGGACTAAGGCACACAGGTTCTTGTTTACAACCCGCCTATGTATTACTTTGTCTGTGTACTTAGGGACATTGTCCTGGTGGAAGTCTCAGGTCCCTTGCATACTGAAACAAGTATTCATTGGAATCCAAGGAAAAATATGTGATTAAAGAGATCTAAGGTCTTTGTGCATCACACACATGAGCTCTGTGCCTGTGTGGGGCTTTTTGTCAGGAAGATTTTCCTAGCTAAGCTTGTTTTGGCAAAAGCCCCTCTTCCTTCCCCTAATACATTATGGTGGGGTTCCTGCCATTTTCCCCACTTCTTTCTGATTGCTGTTTTGGGTGCCTCAGGTTCCTGTTCCTAGCATTTTTCCTCAGATCTTTCAAGAACTTTCTGTCAATCTCTTAATCCTTTTTCTTTCATTCTAGCTTACTGTCTTCTCTACTCTTATTTTGCTTATACCCACTTTCTACTTATCCAACCCTCCCCCCCCCCAAAATCCCCCTCCTCCTGTCATCCTCTCTCTTTTGGACTTCTTTCTTCAGCTATAATCTTTTTCTCGTCCTCTGCCCTGCTGGCTATCAAGGCAGCTTTTAGGAAATGTGTGCAGTGGAGCACACAAATGCCCTCCAGTGATGGGCATTCTCTTTGTCTATTTTGCTGAGGTGAAGATCACTGAGTGGATTCCTGTTCTCATTGCCAGGCTTTTACCCAGAAAGCTTGGAAAAACTGAGTGGGCTGGCTCAAAACTGAGTTGAGGAGCTGAGCCCTTATGGCCATTCAGTGGGTCATTGTGACTGTACCAGAGTACCCCTCTACATCTCGGTCAATTCCTGCCTTTCATGCACCAACAGCCACTTTGTCTGTGTCACCCAAGTTTGGGTGTGTGCCTGGAGAAGAGAGACAGAAGGCCAAAAGGTCAACAAGATGCCGGGTGATAACGCATTGGCAGTGAAGAAGGTTAATGACATCCTCTGTGCAGTTGTGCTCATCTATTCTGCCAGTGGTTCCAGCTACAGGTCCTGTGCCAGCCCCACCACTGGTTCCAGTTCCTCTGCTGTTTCCTGCAGTGGCACCTCCATTAGGCTGTATGGTATGGGGAGAACCAGCCACAATGCTTTCCTTCTCCAAAGGATTGATATGGGACTCATCCCTGCATTCTCTGGTGAGCTTGCCACTGCTGTCTCCACCAAGGTTCCTGTACTCCCCATATCCATTTTTCCATGCTGCTGCCAATCCCGACTGCAGGGCCCTTGCATAGCACCTACTTGCCAGCACCATTGCAGGAATCCAGCCATCAGCTGAGGGAATGGTCCAGAGCTCTTTGCTGTTGACCTGGAACCTGCAAACTTACTGGGTGCTGTCACCACCAGCAGACCCGTATTATTGCAGCCGTCTTTGGGAGTGGAGGCCCGTAGACCTGCAATACTACCAGTGAGACCCCCTCAGCTTGTTGTCTAGAGGAAACATGGGTGCCAGTTCCTGCTACCCTGCCACCAGTTCCTGTGAATCAACCGCCTGTTCCTACCCCTCACCCACCTACCCACTCACAGTCTACTCCACCTCAGTGACCTTCCTTAACATCTGAAAGGTTCTCGTCATTGGATCATGCCGACTGTGCATCCAATTCCAATCTACTGCTGCTCTACAATGACCTGGTGTCAACATCACCTGAGGATGTCCTCTTAGCGCAAGGTCCAGGATCCCCCTCTGAAGACCTGGAAGGTTCTACAAACAGGTCCTCTGGATGGCAGTGTCACCTGGGCCGAACACCCAACAACTCACTGAATCACCAGTGGATCTAGTCTACTACATTATCCAGATGGAGGACACAGCTGGTACCCATTCCTTTCCTTTTAATGCTCCTCCACTCTACAAAGGAACTATGGAAGGAGCTGGCACAGTTGCAACCAGCATCCTGCCATTGGGAAAGCCTGTACTGGATACAGGAGAGGGACATCCTGTTCTTTCTATACCATCTGTGCCTAAATTCTGTCATCATAGAGGCAGCACAGGGATGGTCACAAAGGGAACACACATGCCCAGTGGATAGAGAGGGATGCTGTTTGGACACCATGGCGAGGAGGTCGGACTGGACTTCACATCCCAAACTACAGGGCCACCATGAGAATAGATCAGCCACGGGAAAAAGTTCAACCTATCTACCTGGGGCAAATGGCTGGTGCCTCACCTTCATATATTGGGGAAGGGTGGGGAAGGGCTTCCTCCAAACAAGCTTAGCTAGTAAAATCTTCCCAACAAGCCCATATGTGTGAATGCACAGGTGACTGCTTGAAGAATGTCGGTTACAGGTAAGCAACCTTACTATATAGAGATCAACATATGTTTTAGATTTTATTACTTTGGTGGCTAAGTAGAAATCTTACTATTTTGCTATCTTATTAGTAATAATTGATCTGAAGTGGGTAGGTCACAGGTTGAACTTTATTATATAAGCCATTTAGGGTCCAGCACTGTGGGTTATGTTACAATTTCTTATTTTTCCTGTGCCTGAATTTTAGCTTATATAGTTGATTTTGTGTTGAGCAGTGACCATCAAGTATGGCTGAACACTGTTGCTGTACAGCAGGCTGGTCCATAACAAAACATCTCTCAACCATGATTTAATTGTGGATGAGGGAGCCCACCTGGCATGCATTACAGAGACCTGGATGGGAGAAGGTGGGGATATCGCCCTTACTCAGCTGTGCCCACCCAGGTGTCTGATTCAGCATCAGCCACGCCCTGTGGGAGGGGAGGGGGGGTCATCCTGGTTCATTGACCATCAGTTTCCCTCACGGGGCTTCCTGTTCCCTCAAGACTGGGTCTAGAGTGTTTGTACCTGGTGTTGGCTGATTGAGACAGATTAGGGATTCTGCTGGTGTATCGTGCACCCTTCTGCCCATCAGACTCCCTGCCTGAACTGACAGAGATCGTCTCGGACCTGGTGTTGAGGACTCCCAGGATGTTTGTCCTGGGGGACTTCAACCTCCACACCAAGACAGTTCTGCCCGGGGTGGCTCAGGACTTCATGACTTCCATGAAACCATGGAGTACTGCAGGGTTCCATTTTGTTCCCCTTGCTATTGAACATCTACATGAAACTGCTGGGAGAGGTCATCAGGAGGTTTGGGCTGCGGAGTCACCAGTACGCTGATGACACCCAGTTCTACCTCTCTTTTACAACCAATCCAGGTGAGGCAGTGGCTGTACTGAACCGGTGCCTGGCCAAGATAATGGGCTGGATAAGGGCCAATAAACTGAAACTCAATCCAGATAAGACAGAGGTCCTTTTGGTAGGTGTTTCAGGTTACCAGGTAAGTGACTTTGGCCCTGTCCTGGATGGGATTGTACTCCCTCTAAAGGACAAGGTCTGCAGCTTAGGAGTGCTCCTCAACCCAGAGCTGTCTCTGGAAGCCCAGGTGACTGGTGGCGAGGAGTGCTTTCCTTCAGCTTCGGTTGATCCATCAGCTACGTCCTTACCTGGACGAGCACTGCCTAGAAACAGTGATACACACTCTGGTAACCTCACGGTTGGAGTTTTGTAACATGCTCTACGTGGGGCTACCCTTGAAGACAGTTGGGATACTTCAACTGGTGCAAAATAGAGCTGCCAGGTTGCTGTCGAGGACCGGTCATCATTCCCATATAACACCAGTCCTCTATCAGCTCCACTGACTTCCTATTGAAGTCGGGGCCCAATTCAAATTGCTAGTTATGACCTATAAAGCCCTAAACAGCTTGGGACCAGGATACCTGAAGGAACGTCTTTTTCCCTATATGCCCTCCCAACCCTTAAGATGTGCAGCAGAGGCCCTGTTCTGGGAACCCTCCTTGAAGGAGGTTAGGAGAGAACATACTCAGAGGAGGGCTTTCTCTCTGGTGGCGCCCTGGCTATGGAATGCACTCCCCAGAGAGGACCGCCTGGTGCCGACATTATATGCTTTCTGGCACCAGGTCAAGACCTTTTTATTTACCCAGTATTTTAAAGTTTAATTTGGCTTTTACACCAGTTATGGGTTATTAGTGTTGTTATTGTTTGGGGTATTAGGATGACATTTTATAACATTGTATTTATTTATTGTTGTAAGCCATCCAGAGACATGTAGTGATTGGACAGGTTAGAAATGTCCCAAATATACTCAGTATTGAACAGTATTCAAGTATTCAACGGTCTGTTTTTCCTTCCTCTGATTTTTATCTTCAGAATAACCATGAGTAAATGGTTCTGACCACAGAAAGATGGATTAACTTGAATCCTGTGTTACACTCTGTGGAAGCAGGACTATATTTGGGGTGTTTTAAGAAATTAAAGCAAGATATAATGCAGGCTGCTGATATAAATTCAGCTATACAGCTATTTCTTCAGTTGAACTGTTTTCTCCCAAAAGGGTTTCTGTTTTTCAGAAGTTCCATTCTAATTGGGAAAGAGACTGGTTTAGTGAGGAGTGTAAAAAGTGTAAAAAAATGGCAAAGGTATTTGGATGCTATCAGAATAGTAGAAATCCATCAATTCCCACCTTTTTATGAATTATAAAGATCTATTTGTAAGATCTTACACTTTAACAAAATAAGAATGACTGTAATGAGCAA